AAATAGTTTTTGGATTTTGATTGCGATGATGAGAGGATTTATAAATTAAATAAGAGATATATTTGTGGATGCGAAACAAAAGTAGAAAATGAACGAAAGAATGAATTAAAAAAAATAAAATAAAAAATCTACCATTTTTCTTTTTATATATACACACACACCCACTCGTTCTCTGACCGAAAACCCAATATTCCAAAATAAGAAAATGAAGAAAAGAAAGATTTCAAAACACAAAAACCAAGAGAGAAACCGGTCTCTCTTTACCCTATTATCTCCAATTGCAGATATCAAGACCAAAAAATGCATTCAGAAAAAAAGGAAATAACGAATCCATAAATTCGCTATATGTAAAGAGGGCATTATTTAATACTCCACCGTAATAATAATGATCATAATATTACGACATAATTATTATGTGATGGGAGAAAGAAAACGGATTTTCGACGAAAGCGAGATAGACACGCCTACGCATGTCTGATGTGTATTTTTATACAAGGAAAATGTAGTAGAATCTGGTGCTCGTACTCTTTGACGATAATAACAGCTGACTTTATATATCGCTTTGATAATGGTACGTCGTTGTTGAATGATGGCTGACTGCTTTAATTCATACGTCGTATATCGTTCGTTCTCACTTCATTCCGCTTTTTTTTTTTTTTTAATTTAGTGATTAACTAACAATCTAGATTGATAATTAAAGGGGAAAAAGATACTATATATTCTTTCCCCACTCACTTTCTTCGAGAAAGCATCAAAAAGATTTTTGTGTTAAGTAAATTATTGTTTTTTTATTATTATTATAGTTATACAATCAAAAATGATTGATTGATATTGATTTTTTTTATAATAAAAAATTTCATTTTTTCCAATACTTGCTTGGAATGTTCATTGAAAAGGAGAGACAAGTGAGTGGGTAAAGAATATAAAAGAATGTAAAATTTAATAGATAACGTAAAAAGGGGGAATTGTGTCATAGAAACATAATAAAGGGGGATTCGGGGAAAAGATGAAATAGTGAAAAAAAGAGAATGGTTAGTGTATAATGTGATATTTCTATTGGTGTTGTTTATCTTCTAGAAAAAAATGACGCCAAACCGGCGGGCCAAACCACCACCAACAGAACATACACACTAGACGGAGTCGTGAACCACGAACAAATGCGTAGATTAAGTTGGCTGATTGATTGGTTGTCGGTTGCATGTTTGCTTGCTTGGAAGTTAAACCTCTCTAATTATCGTTTTTTTTTTGAGATTTTATAAATTAAAAAATCGGCGCGAAAAGAAAAGTGATCCCCCTGTGATCAATATATTTGAAAAGTGGTATCCATATCTCAAACTTAAGTTTCATAAGAACTTTTTATTTTTCAACCTCATATTGATAAGCTTAACAGTTCAAGAATTAAAAGTATATTAATTGCAAATATATTTGCGTAATTGACATGTTGTAAGGTGATTGGCCGTTGACGATTGTAATAGCATTGCTAGGATTCATCATTGATTTGATTGTTGAAGTGATTAACAAATAAATATTAAATAAATAAATAAGGGCCAAAATTGATTTATAAGTGTGAACTCGTCGATTTTAACAATACGCCACATCTCCGTTGACCCAGGAATCGTCTAATCCAAGACCATGATTTGAGCTCGAAAGATTTTCGTTACCAAGCGTATCTCCAAAAGTCAAGAAATCGCTACCGTCAGAAGAATGACCGCCGGCAAAAATGCTGGCGAAATCTTCATTGGTAACATTCGGTAGACCACTGGAGGCGTTCAAAGCAGCGGCGAGGTCATCAGAATACAATGAAGAAGTTGTATCGATTGACATGTTCGTAAGATTATTTTCTGGTAGGGTAACAAAAGGATCATGTGCCTGAAGTGGTGATGTGTGAATAAGTTCTGGTGATTGATTATAAACATCAGGTGGTGTCGCTGGTGAGGATGAATTAATATCCATTGGTGATGAACAAAATTCCGGTGAGCTGATGTGTCCGGCTTTAAATATATCAAGCAAAGCGACTGACGTATTTATTTGTAAGGCTGCTGCATTCTGTGCCATGGCTGAAGTAGCGGTGGCCAAGGCCGAAGTGGCAGAATGATCAGCTGAATCATCCGAAGGTGATAACGGAACCGAAGCTGCACGTCGAACACGTGTATGCTGTTTTAAGATCTCAGCATTTCTTATATCAACTTCTTTGTCAGATTGAGATCCTGCATCTTCTACGAATCTCAAATTTTCAGCGATCGAGCCGCTTGGAAAAGATGAACGACGAGTAAGGGTTTGCTGTTGTTGTTGCTCACCATTAGTATCATCACTGCAGTACAGGTTCATATCAATTTCAAGTTTGACATCATCGTGGATCGAAGTAACCTTTGCAATTTGAGCATCGTCTTGCATAAATTTGAAGACTTGCTTCTTCAATGTTTCAGAACGACCTTTTATGACATGTCTCATATGACGTGTGGCTTGTTTATCTTCCGTGAAATCGGTGCACATTGTCCATTGTCCATGTGCCCCTTCCATATAGAAGCTTGGCGGATCTCTTACTTCAATAGCAAGTTGAGCGGAAACATCATCAATTGGTCGGAATTCAATTGCAGTGATTTCTGAGAGTGGAAATTCCATCTTGAAATGTCGATTGTTATTTGTGATGTGATAAGTGAATAACTTTTGCGGAAGTGTATAGTAACACAAGAGATCAGTTGGCGTTGTGGAGATTCGTCGCCAAGTACCGATTGTCAACGTTTCAGATGCTAAAAAATTTAATGAATCATTTGTGCTGTTACTGTTATTGAATGCTGAACTAAGAAATTCTTGAGGTGGAGTGAACTGTTGAGGTTGAGTGTTTGAGATATCTAATTTTTTTT